AAAAGAGAGAAGATTCTTATTGGAGTCCAAGAGATTTGGTCCGATTATCACCTATTTGTGGTATCCCTTTGTAGTGGGAAGAAACGGGGCCGACATGCGCCGGCATGGGGAACAGTTTGCACCGACCGTTTTTGTATACGTTCTTTGAGGGTCGACGAGCCCCTCTTGAGACAAAAGCTCCCATTCATCCTTGTGAATTTGTGCAAAACGTGAGTAGTTCGTCATTGCTTAATCAAAACCACCTTGTTGTTTCCTCGACTCTGAATGCCGCATTATATACGGAACTCCGTCTGGTTTGTCAACATGCCTTAGCTACTTTTGACGAGCACGACGCTGACGCTGTCGTCTCTTGACGAGCTCTTTTCGTCAATGTCGGCGGGCTTGATTTTCGATGACTCTTCCAACTCAGCATAAGAGCCATTGTGAGCAGAGGCTGTTGCGATGAAATTCCCGCAAACAATAAGCGAGAGTCTTCATTTTGTGCCTTCTTTGGCATGTAAGTCTCCTCAATTGTGAATCCTCCTTTTACTTGCGAGAGGATGATGAAGAGATATCTCAAAAACTCTGGTTTGGTCGAATTCGTATTCGACCATAGATTCAACTGGAATCTATGATCGCTGCGGACACGACGGTCTCGGCAGCGAACCGTTGGCTCCCATGTGGTCCCCAAGTTTGTTTTCGCCAAAAGTTGTTTTGTTGTCGAATTCATCTATATTCCGGTCGATACAATAAATTCAAAGAAAACAGCCCCTTTTTATAAGAACTTCTTTTACACAACAAAAAAGAAAATTAACAACTCTGAGAAATAAACGCAGGATCGTTTTTGGATCACTCTTTCGTGGGATTTTGCCTGTCGGAGCGTTTTGACTCCGTGGACCACCAAATCACAAGATTCTGATTGAATCGTGAGGGTTTATGATTCTGACTTTCGTTTATCGAAGTGAGAAATGTGAAACCGATATCTTATCGATGAAGATATCGTTCTTCTTGAAATCAAGTCAAAGCCTGATTAGTCAAAGGATTGGCCGTAAGGTCAGCACTTCTGCTCTCTCTGCTCTCTCTCTGCTCTGGATTGCTCTGAAGTGCTCAAATGATCAGCCCTGATCTCTGCTGGAAGCCCCTGTGAAAATGACCCTTCGGGGGGGTATTAATAACCCTCCTGCGATGAACAGTGCTCGCGAGACAGCATTTGCGTCTCGGCCGGGCGAGACAGTGTTTGCTGTCTCAGCTGGCCGAGAAAAACAGGTGTTTGCTTCTCGCCCAGTCGAGACAATAAATTTGCTTGTTTCCGAGACAGTAATACGTTCAGAAAATGCAGCTTTCTGCATCTGTAACGTCTCCACGTTTTAAAACCTCCCGTTATCCTGGCAGTTATCAACGTGATTCTCGCACGCGTTTCCCACATTCTTGAACAAGTTAGTGGCCACGTGTCGACGGTTGCAAAACCAGGTTTCTGAACCACTGACTAACTGTCTCGTGTGCGAGACAGTAAATTCTGTCTCGCACGGCGAGACAGTAAATACTGTCTCGCACGGCGATACAGTAAATACTGTCTCGCGGGGCGAGACAGTGAAAAACTGTTCGCGGGCGAGACAGCTGAAACTGTCTCAGCTGGCGAAGACAGTAGAAGTCTGTTCTCCCGGGCGAGACAGTAAAGGACTTCTTCGCCAGGTGAGACAGTAAAGACTTACTCGCTGTGAGACAGTCCTATACTTGTGTTCTTTTCCTTTTTGGATGATTTCTCTTGAGCTGTATTTGGATATCTTTTCGAACATTCTTTTGAAACAGCTACAAGAACGAACGCAAAGTTCGTTAAAAATGAACGCAGAGTTCAACCTGAGTACGGACGCAATGCTTGAACCTGAGAACGAACGCAAAGTTCGTTAAAAATTGAACCAGAGTCACCTGAGTACGAAACGCAATGTTTCGACCTGAGAACGAACGCAAAGTTCGTTAAAAAATGAACGCAGAGTTCAACCCTGAGTACGAACGGCACGAGTGTTCCACCTGAAGAACGACGCGAAAGTTCGTTAAAAAATGAACACAGAGTTAAACCTGAGAACGTAACTGCAAAGTATCGTTAAAAAATGAAACGCAGAGTCAACCTGAGAAGAAACCGCAAAAGTTCGTTTAAAATGAACGCAGAGTTTCATCCTTGAGTACGGAACGCAATGTTCGACCCTGAGAAGAAGCAAAGTCGTTAAAAAATGAACGCAGGAGTTCAAACCTGAGAACGAACGCAAAGTTGTGTAAAAATGAACGAGATTTCAAACCTGAGTACGACAATGTTCGTTAAAAATGAACGCAGATGTTCCAACCTGAGAACGAACGCAAAAGTTCGTAAAAATTGAACGCAAGAGTTCATCCTTGGAACGAACGCTAAAGTTCGTTTGAGGTAACCCACCTCCTCAATTTTCGCCAAATGAACCGCTTAGGGTTTTCAAACTGAAACCGCCGCCGTCAAAAGCCCAAAAATCTTTGATTTTTAATTTTTCAAAACAGACCAGAATTGGAAAAAAATTGAAGAAAAAATCAAAGAAAAATCCAAAAAATTCCAAAAGTTACTGTTCACCGGCGATTTTTTCAGTTACTGTTCATCCGAAAAAAAAACTTTACTTTCATCCGAAACAAATTTTCGTTACTGTTCACCGAACATTACTGTTCATCCGAACCCAAAAATTGAATCTTTAACCAGAGATTTAAGATCAAAAACCCAATAAAACTTAAATCCCTAAGAATTAATCAAGGTGGCTCTGATACCACTTGTTAGATCTACATCATAAACTTGAGATCTAAAACCATATAGCCATGATTAATTCAAAGAGATTAACAAGGATCTAAAAAAGAGCGGAAGCTTATACCTGAATCCATTGCTTGATCTTGATTTTGGGTTTTGGATCTTCTAATCTTAGGGTTTCTCTAAAACCGAATTTCTCTCTTAGATGGGGGTGAAGAGAATTAGAGAATGTAGTAACCCTAGATTAGGGACCATAACCCCTTATTTATAGATGTTGTATTTTTGTAATTTAGCCCCTCAATAAATCACAATTACAACCTGGTATCTGCACATATAACCCCATGACTTATTTAAATACCAAATTAACCCAACTTAATTGATCACTTTAGTGGGTTATCCTGAAAGATAGCAATACACATTGATTAATCATATGTGCCCACAAATAGATTTATTAGATTAAATCCAACACATACGGTCTTGACTCTCGGTAGAATCCAACGAGAATGGGTCCTACAGATTGATCTGGTACACACCTTAAGGAACATTCTGAATATAGAAACTCAAGTATGAGTAGATAAATCAACTGAAATAAGAGACAAACACAGGTCAAAATTTAAGGCAATGCAATTTGGTCCTATTTCTTCTGTACGTACTGTTGTCAGAATTTCAAGGTGATGCCCATCTCCTGCCATTTCGGTCCTGTTCATATTTTGATTTTTCTTGTGTACTATAGAATCAGATATCAAGCTTCTGTTTATCCTCTGTTATATTCATACATTTAAAGAATATATAAAAAAAAATTCTTTTTTTTATCATATATTACTTTTCCAGCTTAGTGACAACTTATGCATTGTTTCTTTTCAGGACATATTTCAAAAAATAACATGAATTTCTATATATTTGCAGAAAAGACTTAAACCAAAAATATCATAAGCTTTGAAATTGACAAATAACCTACGAAGAAAATTCATAATGCGTAGAGCGAAAAAGACTAAATTGACCATCATTAACTTGTACTGCACAACTGAAAATTTCAATTTCAGAAAAATGGACTTACTTTCAAAGTGCCCCTCATGTTCAAATGAGAATTTCTAAAAAAGAAAAAAAAAATTGAAGAATCAGAAGGATAACAAACCTTGAGCCCCAGGACTCACATAGGCAGGGCACAGGTAACAGCTGGCGATATTCCTCGATGATCTGCGAAGCATTAGCAAGCGGCAAATCCGTCACCAACTCAGTATTTCGACATCAGCCGCCAACAAAGGAACAGACCAAACATCACGAGGCATGCATGAGCACTCGATCACCGATGCTCTCCACAGACTCCACCCTCACACGCATCTTTCGATCGAGATGATCCGCTCTGAAGACTTCAAACCCGGCCGGTAGTATTTCGACCGCGATCCTTCTCCTTCTTAACAGTCTCCTCAGCAAGCAATGGCTCCTCATCAAAGTCCACTAAATGGGTAGCCCAATGCAAGAACCTAGATCCCTTGGGTATCCTGCTCCATCGACTCATCATCTCAAAGCATTGAATACCAACAGGAGACGCGAGAGGATCAACTACTAATAAATCCATAGAATATGACTCCCGACTCACAACCATAGATGGTGATGTTTGCCTTGTTTGGTGGAGTTAGAGAGAGAGAGTCAGAGAGAGAGAGAGAGAGAGAGAGAGAGAGAGAAGAGGACTATCTCAATCAGAGAGAGAATGAAGAGGACGATGAGGGGAGCCGGTCGCTTTTATTTGTAATATAGTTTAAAATTCTGAAGAGATTAAGTCACACATCAGACAGTTTGGCCGAGTGGTCTAAGGCGCCAGATTTAGGCTCTGGTCCGAAAGGGCGTGGGTTCAAATCCCACCGCTGTCATTTTTACTTTATTATTCTTATTCTTTATGAATATTATAATTGCATTTATTTTTTTTTCTTGTTGTGGTTGATGTCTTGGAAACTATGAACAACAACAACAAAAAAGAAAAGGAAAAGAAAAAAAAAGAAACTAAAGAATTGCTTGGGTAAGATCCACAATTCCTTTTCTATTTCCAGCTCGTTTGAATCTCAGGTTGTCGGAAAATGGGTTTTCGATGTTTTGGGGATGATTGCACTTGCATGTTCAAGGGTGAGCAACACACATACTCCTTTCTTTTTATTTTTTTACTTTTTTTTAACCAAACAAACCATTGAAAACTATTACAGGAAATCAATTTAACAATGTTTTCCTTAACCAAATAAGCCCTAAGGAAAAGCATGCTATGAAGATTTACATTAAGATTATTATTCCAAATGCCAAAATTATGGCCAACAGTCAAACAAGTGGGTTCTTAACAGAGTAATGACTCTATTAGAACATCCCTTAAAAAATGGTGATCTATATTAATTCCGACTATCCTATCAATGGTGTCAATCACCCTACTGCTATATGGGTTATATTCTGACAGGATTGCTATTCTTTTTAATATCTGACAAAAACCAGGGCCGGCCCTGGGCATAGGCAGGGGAAGCCTTTGCCTAGGGCCCCCAAAAAACAAGGGCCCCCATTTTATTTTTAGATATATATATACCTATATATATGAGGAAGTAAGGGGGCTTTTGTGCAAAATTATTAGAGGGGTCTAATAGCATAAATACACATCAAAACCTCCCTATCTTCAACTCTCCAACCCGTCCTCTGTTTCCAGCCGCTCTCACATATTAAAAAAAAAATTTGAAAACCCTCTCTCTGACCTCTCTCTTCTTCGGATCTTCCTCCCGTGGGCCGTGTCCCATCCTTGTCGCCTTGTCCTCCTCCCTCCCTCTCGGCTCTCGCCCGCCGGCCGCCGGCCCGCCTCCATTGAGTCCTCCTCCCTCCCTCTCGGCTCTCGCCCGCCGGCCGCCGGCCCGCCTCCATTGACCAAGCCAAGGTTTGGGTTTCACTTCTTCTTTTCTTTACTTCTATGCTTCTTTTGACAATATCGTGAATTGATGTAGAATTTTTGATTTATTGTAAGTTCTAGGGTTTAGGAAGTAGGGCTTTGTGGAATTAGGGTTTAAGAATTAGAGCTTTGTGAAATTAAAATTGAAATTGATTAGGGCCTAAATTGAAATTGAAATTGGAATTAGTTCTCACTAGATTTTATTGTTTAATTTCAAATTTCAATTTAAATATTTGATATATATTTTAGTTCCTAACATGCTTTTTGGTAGGAATCCTTGATTAATTTATTTTTCTCGATATTTATTAGATTGTAGCAGATTCAGAATTAAATTTGGATATCATGCCTCCTCGAAAGTATATGTCTGGACATGATAAGCGGATAAAGAAACAAAAAATTGAAGAATTCAATCGATCTCAAGCGGGAGCACTTGAAAATTTTATTACTTGTAGTAGAAATATATATTCTAATTCAGTTCAAGATTCGGTGAATGTTGAAAATGAGCAACCTGAAAATCAAGAAAGCGAGGATTTGGTTAATGAAAATTTGAATGAGAATAGAAATTCCATTGAAGAAGGTGAAGAACATGAAGATTCTAATGAGAATAGAAATTTGAATGAGAATAGCAATGTAAATGAACATGAAGAAAATGTAAATGAACATGAAGATTTGGTACAAGAAGAAAACCTTGAAAGAAGGCCTTCAAACATAAATGACCCAGGAAATTGGAAAAATATTGATCAAAGATTGAGAGACTTACTGGTTGAAAGAGGTCCCAAAAGAAATGATAATCTTGATTTTCCAAAAGATTCAGAAGGCAGACATTTCTCCTCAACACATTACATTCGTAACTTATCCAATGGTGAATATCATGATAGAAAATGGCTAATCTATTCAAATTCTTTGGACAAGGTTTTTTGTTTTGTTGTAAGTTGTTCAAAAACGATGCAAACAAAATTCAATTGGCAAATGATGGAGTAAGAGACTGGAGAAATCTCAGTGCCAGACTTAAAAGTCATGAAACAAGTAGTGAACACATTGTTAACATGAAGAGTTGGATTGAATTAGAGATCAGATTACGACAAAATGCGACAATCGATAAAAGTGTTGAAGAACAAATCAACAAAGAACGAGAACATTGGAGAAAAGTACTATTGAGAGTAGTTGATGTTGTGAAAACACTTGCTAAAAATAGTTTGGCATTTCGTGGAGATAATGAGAAGCTTTATGAAGAAAATAATAGAATTTTTTTAAGTATAATAGAAATGATTGCCGAATTTGATCCAATAATGAAAGAGCATGTTCGTCGAGTTCAGGAGAAAGAAATTCATTATCATTATCTTAGTCACAAAATTCAAAATGAATTTATTCTTCGAATAGCAGATGAGATCAAAAGTTTAATCATCCAAAAGATTAAAGAAGCAAAGTACTTTTCTGTTATTCTTGATTGTACTCCGGATGCAAGCCATGAAGAGCAAATGTCACTTATATTAAGATGCGTGAATATTTCAACAAGCCCAATAAAGATGGAGGAGTTCTTTTTAGGATTTTTAAAGGTGGATGATACATCAGGACGAGGACTTTTTGAAGAACTTGTAAATATTTTGCAAGAGCTTAAACTTGATATTGGTGATGTAAGAGGACAAGGGTATGATAATGGTTCTAATATGAAAGGAAAACATAAAGGTGTACAAAGAAGATTATTAGAGATAAATCCTAGAGCATTCTACACACCTTGTGGTTGTCATAGTCTTAACCTTGCACTTTGTGATATGGCAAACTCTTGTTCGCAAGCTTTATCTTTTTTTGGAGTGGTGCAGCGCATATATTCATTGTTTGCATCTTCTACAAAACGGTGGAAAGTTCTTACAGATAATGTTAAAGGTTTCACACTTAAGCCACCATCACAAACTCGTTGGGAAGGTCAAGTTGAAAGTGTTAAAGCAATAAGATTCCAAGCTCCAGATATAAGAGATGCTTTGATTTACTTAGCAAGTTCTAGTGAATATCCTAAGACAAAAAGTGATGCTGAGTGCTTAGCAACATATGAAATTGAGAATTTTGAGTTCTTACTTGGTATGGTTATTTGGTTTGATATTTTGAATGCTATTAACAAAATAAGTAAAATCATGCAATCAGAGGATATGCAGATTGATGTTGCTATAGACCTTTTAAGAGGGCTCATTTCTTTTTTTGAAAGCTACAGAGAAAATGGATTTGAAGCAGCTATGGTTGAGGCTAAAGAAATTGCAGTTAGAATGAAAGTTGAACCCATTTTTCGTGAACGTCGCATCATTCGTAGAAAGAAACATTTTGATGAAAATGCTAGTAAAGAGATGGCAATGACAGCTGAAGAATCCTTTAGAGTCAATTACTTCATATATATCGTTGATCAAGCTCTTTCTTCACTCAAGAGTAGATTTGAACAGTTTCAACAGTATGATGAATCTTTTGGTTTCTTGTTTAATTTGGAGAGGTTGAAGTCTGCAGATAATGATAGTTTGAAGTGTTCATGTCTTAACCTTGAAGATCTCCTAAAGCATGACAAAAATTTTGATATTAATGGGACAGAATTATTTTCAGAACTCCAAATCTTAAGAGAAGCATTACCAAGAGGAACAAAAAAAGCAATTGAAGTATTGAATTTTATGGAAAGGCTAAATTGTTGTTTTCCAAATGCTTGGATTGCTTATAGAGTATTATTGACAATACCAGTTACAGTTGCATCGGCCGAGAGAAGCTTTTCAAAGTTGAAGCTCATCAAATCTTATCTACGGTCAACAATGTAACAAGAGAGATTGAATGGATTGGCTATGATATCTATCGAAAAAAAATTATTGGAGAAGCTTGATTGGAACATTTTAATTGATAATTTTGCAGCTCAAAATGCAAGGCGATCCCATTTAATGTAGTATGAATTGTGTTATTTATAAAGCATCAAGAAGTTTTTTGATTTTAATATTAACACGATTATGTGCTTATTGTCTCATTTTAATAAAAAATATTTTGCTATCTTATAAAATTTTTTGTGTATGGAATATTGTATATAGAGGCCCCTCATTTGAAAGCTTGATTAGGGCCCCGTGAAATATTAACACGATTATGTTTTTTTTCTACTAATATTCTAATTACATTTGTTAAAGGTCTTACTAAACATGCTAGCTATTAACATCAATATTTGAGATTCTATTCCAAATGGCAAAATCCATGCCAACAACCAAACAAGTTGGCTTTTAATATCAGACAGATACATGCATACCATCTCTCAAGAAAACCTAACATAATCACTAACCAATCATCAAGTCATCAATTAACTACACCTAAAATTTGTCAACAACTTTGCCGTAGGGCCAACACTATCATCTCAACCATCTTCATGTCGAGCAATTAAATTCCACTCCCCACGATTAAATTTTCTCTATAACAACACCAATCAATTCCTCATTCCACTCAGAAAACATGGCAAACAAATTTCTAATAATAATTTCCGTACTCCTATCATCCTTTTATAACTCCAATTCCGTAGGAATTGCCATTTACTGGGGCCAAAATGGCTTTGAAGGCACCTTGAATTCAACCTGCTCAACAGGAAACTATGCATTCATCAACATAGCCTTCTTAATCCAATTCGGCGAAAAAAGAACCCCAATCCTCAATCTCGCTGGCCACTGTGATCCAAGCTCCAACGGCTGTGTTCACCTAGGCTACGACATAAATTTCTGCCAATCAAACGGAGTAAAAGTTCTCCTCTCCATTGGCGGAGGAGTAGGGAACTACTCCCTCTCATCTCGTCAAGATGCAAAAAATGTCGCAAAGTATTTGTACAAGAATTTCTTGGGCGGCCATTCTTCTAACCGCCCTCTGGGGCCTGCAGTTCTAGATGGTATTGATTTTGATATTGAACTTGGAACTAACCGTTATTGGGAAGAACTCGCGAAAAATCTCTATAAATACAGTCTGAGAGGGAGGAAAGTGTATTTATCTGCAGCTCCTCAGTGTCCGCTTCCTGACTTCTTTATGTCAGAGGCTCTTGAGACTGGGTTGTTTGATTATGTATGGATACAGTTTTACAATAATCCACAGTGTGGGTACTCTGAAGGGGATGTAACTAGAATTTTGAGTTCATGGAGGAAGTGGACTTACAGGATTCCGGCAACGGAGATTTTCTTGGGTCTGCCGGCAGCTCCTCACGCGGCAGGAAGCGGGTTTATTCCGGCGAGTGTGGTTGTTTCAGAGGTGTTGCCTGTGATTAGAAGGGAGGTGAAGTATGGAGGGGTGATGTTGTGGTCAAAGTTTTACGATGATCAGACTGGGTATAGTGCCTCAATTAAGAGCTATCTGTGAGCATGAGTTTTGGGAGTTTCGAACAAATTAAATTTGAACATGTTCTATGATTATTATTGATCATTAGATTTTAGACGAAATTTCTGTATTATTATTATTATTTTGGAGAAAACTGTATTTTCAGCTTGTGTTTCTGAGTTAGATAAAGATACGTGCTAATTAGCTGGTCAGTCGACTATGGATTTTTGTTAATGTTAAGGATTCGTTGCCTCGATTAGGACTCCTTTGCGTATGTGTTGTTGCTTTATCTAGATTTATTATATGCTCTTGCACTTGCTGGCTTTTATCAATTAGATTTTTATGTTCCTCGGGAAATTAAAATAAAGAATTTCAGATTTAACTCTTGATCCTCCATTCCACTCATTGTTTGATGATATCATTGCAGGACAATTCCGAACTTGTAATGTTTTTATCTCTCTTGCTATTTGATCTGATCTAGACGCATGTATTACACTTTGAAATTGGCCTCAAATATGGATGGATCTGATTAATTTGTTGCCCTGTTATTTATCTAGAACGGTTGTTTGAGAAAACATTATTGACCCTATTACGTGCAAGTTACTGAACAGATGACAGTGATTACTAGAGCTTATCTAGTTTTGAATAAGTTCTAGGGAAAAGAGGGCCCTGGCCAAATATCACTATGAGAGTGAGAGAGAAAAGAGGGTTGTTTTATTTTTGTTTTGTCATTGCCTAATTTCAGCTTCTTTTATTGGTGGCTTTCTTTTCTTGTAATTTTATGAGTTGTTTTGTTAAACTCTCATTAATGAAACATAGGGGTAGTCACTCACTATTTTTTAAACTCGCTATTTTACTCAAAAAAACTGCTACAAGTTTTGCTAAATTAAAAATATATAGCTTTTTGTAGGCTGTCTAAAAATCACAATAGATAGCTTATCCTCCATCAAACACCGATGATGGAAGTTACAATCTGACGACTTCAAGAATGCTACAATTTGAAGACTTTCACGTAGATCGCTGAAGGTTACAATCTGACGACCTTCACGATAACCGATGAGAGCTCTAGTTCAACAGCATTCATAATCAACATCGGGAGTTACAATCTGACGACTCTCATATTCTCAAGGAGCCAAGACGAAGATTACAAGACAATGATCTTTGCAACGCTATTACTTGTACTTTGTAATAATCTCTTCAAGACAAGACGCGGAGGTCCTCCCCGTGTGTCAACATCAAAACGCCGGGGTCGATCCTGCGTTACAACATCAAAACGCGAGGGTCGAACCCACGTTACAACATCAAAACGCTGGAGTCGAACCCATGTTACAACATCAAAACGCGAGGGTCGAACACACGTTACAACATCAAAACGCTGGAGTCGATCCCACGTTACAACATCAAAACGCGAGGGTCGAACCCACGTTACAACATCAAAACGCTAGGGTCAAACCCGCGTTAGAACATCAAAACGCTGGAGTCGGACCCGCGTTACAACAAGCGAAACGTGAGCGACCCTCGCGTTCTGGATCGGACCCGCGTTACAACAAGCGAAACGTGAGCGACCCTCGCGTTCTGGATGTTCAGTCAACACCTAACCTCGCGTCTCAATCCTAAGACGCGAGGTTAGGGTCCTGAACGCCAGGTTGGGCGTTTGACTCATTCAAATATGAGTCGAACGGTTTCAGAACAGTTTTTCCCACGATCTGAGGAAATCACGCCCACTTAGGAGCGGATTTAGAGGGCAGTTACACCCCCTTAATCCCCTATAAAAGCGAGTAAACTCAACTGAGTTCAAGGTTGGAATTTCTTGGCTCAGATCGACCACTGAAGGCTGGCATTTTTTCGGATCTGGGACTTGGCGGCAGAAGAGATCGACATTCATCTTTTCGGATCAGTCCTGAGACCCTTCGGCCTTGGCTTGAAAACCGATTCTCAGTTTAATTTAACTCTTTTTTAAGAGTTTCCAACTCGTGCAGAGTTATCAACTCATCCAGAGTTCTAAAACTTGCCACGCAAGTTCTCCACAACGTCAAATCGTGAGGAGAAGACATCGTTCCAGTGAATCAAGACGTGCGGATCGTCAACGGAGAGCAAATTCGACGCGAGCAATCGAAGGAGGCATTCCATCGCTACCAAGAAGAACCCAGTTTTAAACAAAGGAGAGAATCAAATTCGTTCTCTTCTCTTTTGTAATCAAATTGTAATCAGAATCAAAGGAATACAAGTCAATTCTCTTTGTTCTCTTCTTTGCAATTTTCCCTACGTACACTTTTTAATTTTATAGGTAATTGTAGAAAATTCACAAAATAGCACAGGATATATGAGCTATCAATATGCTACTTGGAACGGTTCACTTTGGGGCTGTTAGTTTTCAGGCATCTTGCATCATTGCACTGAAAAGAGGGATCCAAAAATTTTAAATCATGGATTTTTAGCAAATACATTGTTTGTTTTTAATTTTTTATCCAGAGATTTGTAGTTGTCACATAGGATAAATGCATCAAGTATAGTCCCCTAAAATTATGTTTGACAGCTAGATTGACGAATTTAGTCACATATCCTCAACAAATTTATGTACGACCAAAAAAATTTAATTGGATTTTGTCCCTCATCAAATCCTCTTTAATATATATTGTAAACAAATATAATTTTAGTTATGGTTTTTCGAAATTTATTACACACATCAAGATTATTACTTAAACCAAACATCCCCTTGAATCATCGATAATTGCAAATTAGTCCATCAAATCTCAATGTTTGCTCATCAGTTCTTCAAATCTACAGTTCTACCGCAATTCCGTCCCTCTATTAACTTTTCTGTTATTTCCTCTAACAATGGTCAAGTTAACGCTTAATCCAACATTTACAATTACCTAAATACCTCTTTTAGTATATGTTTTCCTTTCAAAACAACCTAATTACGGGATTATATTGGATTTAAAGGAAATATTAGCATGGAAAGAGCTCTGAAGTTCATTTGAGGGTGCCGTTGATACTTGGGGAAGAAGAACTTTTCCTGTTTAGATTTTAGCATAAGCGGATTGTATATGTATATGCAAGAGGCATATATACTTGAGGGATGAAGTTACAAGAGTCCTATACAAGCACTGAAAGGGAAGCATACTATCAGCCGGCCGTAGCCATTTGAGGGGAAAATAAAATTGTTGCAAGTTCCTCAAAGAGCAATCTGTCAATGGCGAGGAAGAAGACCCTCAATGATGGGAAGCGGGGTCCATCCCCATGATGAATTAATATGGATTTAATTCATGGAGATTTTATGGTTGACTATATGCATGCATTGATAGATTGTCTTTCCTCATGCATTGGGAAAAGGAAGGGTTAGTCTTTGGACTTCCCCATGCATTGGGAAAAGGAAGGGTTAGTCTTTAGACTTCCCCATGCAATGAATGCGGTGTAACCAAGAGGCATATCCTCCCTATAAATAGAGGGGAGATGATGAAGGTTGAAAGCAAGAAGCAAGAAGAAGAACCACATGCAAATCTGTAATCCTCAAGTGAGTTTGAGAGAAAGTGATCCTCAAGTTAAGTTATACCAACTTGAGAGAAGAACATTTATAAACTTTCATTTGATTATAGTGGAAACGGTGAAGAAGGGGCGGGTGATGACGTATGCTAAATTTGAGCTGAACCTCGGTAAATCTTGTGTGTGCAATCTCTCTATTTCTCTGTTTGTTTACCTTCTATTTTTTCGTTCTCATCTCATCACAAAGACGGGAAATGTCTTGTTGTACTGTTAATTTCCCAACAGTGGTATCAGAGAAAGGTTGTTAATCTTCTTGTGTTGAGATGGAAACTCCCGTCGGCGGCGTTCGAATGATCAGTTTGAATGGCCGCAATTCGATGATATAGAAGGCAAGGATTATAGATCTTCTATATTGCAAGGACCTCTATGCGCCAGTTGAAGGTGAATCCTCCAAGCCAGAGTCCATGACGGCAGATGATTGGAAGAAGCTTGATAGGAAAACTATCGGTACCATTCAGCAATGGGTGGATGACACTGTATTCCATCATGTGTCAAATAAGACTTCAGCGAACAGCTTGTGGAAGAAACTTGAAGATCTCTACGAAAGAAAGACCGCCGGCAACAAAGCTTTCTTGATTCGGAAGCTTGTCAATCTCAAGTTCAAGGAAGGTGATTCTATATCTGAACATTTGAATAAAATTCAAAGTATTGTAAATCAACTTGCAGCCATGAAGATGGTGTTATAAGATGAGCTTCAAGCCCTTCTTTTGCTTAGCTTGTTACCGGATAGTTGGGAGACGTTGGTGGTGTCTCTTAGCAACTCTGCACCTGATGGAGTTGTATCCATGAACCAAGTTACAAGCAGCCTCTTGAATGAAAAATACAAAGAAAGTCATCTGGATCCTCCCATTCTCATGCTCTTGTTACCAAGAATAGGGAGATGAGCAAATATCGACAACCTCAGAATCGAGACAAGTCAAGAGGAAAATCAAAAGTTAGAAAGAACATTAGTTGCTATCACTGTGGGAAGAATGGACACATAAAACGGGAATGCCGCAAGCTCAAGCGAGAACAAAAGGAAGAAAAGACCAATGAAAAATAAGAAATGAATGAAAATGCAGCTGTTGTCAGTGATAATGAAATTGTACTTTTCTCGGCATGTGTAGAAGATTGTGCAAATCTCACTTGCCAAGACTCGGAATGGGTGATTGATTCTGGTGCTTCCTACCATGCTACTCCTCGGAAGGACTACTTCACTTCGCTTCGTGAAGGTAATCTTAGAATGGTAAAAATGGGTAACAAAAACTCTTCTCAAATTCTTGGCATTAGAAATATTTGTGTTACTACTAACCTTGGAATAAAGATGATTCTAAAAGATGTTAGATTTGTGCCCGATCTTCGTCTTAATCTTCTCTCCACCGGCAAGCTTGATGAAGAAGGATACACGAGTAGCTTTGGTAAAGGCTGTTGGAAGCTTACCAAAGGATCACTTGTACTAGCGAGAGGAAAGAAGTGTTACACTCTCTATGAGACTCAGTTTCACTTAGAGAATAATGAACTTGGAACAGTGAAAGGTACATCTATGGATTTGTGGCACAAACGGTTTGGCCACATGAGCAAGAAAGGGCTACAAACTCTCGTAAGGCGACAACTACTTCCATCCATGTAAGGTATAACACTATCCCATTGTGATCACTGCTTGATTGGGAAACAACATCGGGTAGCTTTTGTTAAAAATTATAACAAAAAAGACTAGTATATTAGACTTAGTCT